AAGGGTGCAGCATTTTGCGGGGTACCGCGTTGTCCCCCTCCGTAGTCTGTATTCCGCGATTGTCTCGGGATGTTCAGACTTTGTGTGTGCCACAGGTGCGTGCGTGCGTGAATGCGATGTGGCACTCGTCAGGTGTGTCATCTCAAGACAGGTGAGGGTCGAGAACTCAGCCAGAGGGTTCAAGGAACTCGCCGGCAGTCGCAGAAGAATCTAAGATCCTGAAAGAGTCAAAGTTCAGCCTCGCAGGAACTCGCACCGCCTTCCGCCTAGAAATAAATCATTAAATGCGAGGTTTGAAGACCTGGAGGGAGAAAACCACTTGGAAGACCTTGGTATAGATGGAAGGATGATCTTGAAATGGATCTTGGGAAAATAGGATTGGAGGTTATGGATTAGATTCATATGGGCCAGAATAGGAACTGGTTTTTGGCTTATGTGAATACTGTAATGAACGTTCTGGTTGTATATAAGGTGGGAATTACTTTACTCGCTGAGCGACTATTAGCTTCTGAAGAAAGACTCTGCTCCATAGAATTAATTATTATTTTTATTAGATTTAACAGTGGAAATGTGTCTGTCGGGTGAACGGACAACACATTTGGAAAAAAAATTAAGACATTTTCAATAAACGCGAGTCCAAAGGAAAAAAACATTCATTGGTAAAACCAAGAAAGTGATGGAAGAATAAGTGACTGTAGCCTTGAAACTGATCGCATAGGTCGATACATTCATAAGTTACAACGAAGAAACATCACGTCTGAACGGGAGGCGTGGACGAGTGAGAAATCCAGTGTCAGAAGAAAAAGTCTTTGTCCACAGACTGGAGCTGAAGCTGTCCGTACGCCACTCATAACAATGAAGTCATTCTCTTCTTTTGTCACAGGAGATGGAGCGTGAGGTGGATGTCCCGGCATGACTTCGGTGTCTCAGCTTCGATTTGTCAACTTGTGTGAGGTCGTTTCTGCATGTATCGGCTTAAAAATACTCTTCGCAGCGTATATTTGGGTTTGTTGTGTTTGCCACCCTGTAGTTTCATAATTCGGTTTCGGTCACCTGCTTCGTTAACTCCCTATGGAACCGCGTAGCTTACCGCATAAGGTCTGTACAGAATTCAGTGTCGTAATGCCATGTGAACGTTTAGGTAAATACCAACATTTCGGTTAATTTCCGCGAAATGCGATCTGCGTGTCCCGATGTGTTAGGGAGTTCACAAAATGCGTAGAGGACTTATAAGGGAGATCTCACGACGCTGGCCGGGTCTGGACACTTGCAGCGGGTTGAGGAAGAACCCGGCAGGGAACAGATGCCCAACCAAGGTTTCATTGCCCGCTGTCTGTTGCAGAATGGTTTCCGTACGTTCCTCACACCTGCTACCTGAGGCCAGGGTGCTCGCCGATCGCCGGTAATTGCGCGCGATATGCGAGGCTGAGGGTGTGCTGCTGTGAGGCTGTGACAGCGGCAAAATGTGAGTGAATCTTCGCGAAATACAGCCGCCTAATTTACCCACCTTCTTCCAGCGTATTTCTCTACCAAAAATCACGTATTATTAGGCCAAATTCCGATAGATCTTTCTGAAGATATTATAGGAGCTCTGTAAGTCACCCCATTTCTCATACAAGTTTATCCTGTGTTTATTTTAACTTATGTTCGTCTCTGAAAGTACCGAGAATTACGTAATTGAACGTGGAAGCGTTTGATAAAGTCGCTGTTTATCTCCGTTTCTAGGGAAATCAGAAGCCGGTCTGCTGACGATGTCATGGAGGATATTGATGCTCTGTTCCGTGTGTGTTCTCATAGTCCGATAATACCATTTGTGGTCAAGGATGAGCAGCTATAAGAGACAAGATAACGCGCCGACAGAAGAGTTGCTTCTTAAGTGTTTTGTGGCACTTTGCTGGAAGTTTGCGTGGAATTGATTCAGGAAAAGGGACAAGGACATGGAAGGAGTTACTTAGTTCGTAACATAGTTTACAATTCTGCTTAAACACCGCAAGTCATGGACGTTTAGCAAACTACTATTTTCAACTTTTTATTATTTCTCTAGGTCTCAGATATACGAAATCGCCCCCAAATTTTTGTTCTTCATGAAATGTGGATGTCGGTACACCCAATGACAAAATTATGTTTTTTGTACATTTTTGGCTTAAGCTTCCAAGCAGACTGCAAAATATTTGCATAATTATATCCGATACTGTACATTTTTGTCTTAAGCTTCCAAGCAGACTGCAAAAATATTTGCATAATTATATCCGATACTTTAATATTAAAATCTAGAAAATTGTACGCTGTGGAAAAAAAAAAATCACTGCTTTGTAAATACAAGTCGGTGACTAAACTGGTGATTAATGTGGTGTGTATACATGTCAATTGTACTGATGTTCATAACAGACGGCTCGAAGCGTATGTGGATCGATGCCGATAAGTTGGGTTACAATAATCTTTGTTTCGTGTTATGAATCCATACTCTTTTAATGCAGAATCCACAGGTTGGATGTTACCTGCCAACAGCAATGTGTATATTATATTTTTTCTATTATTTAACCCTTTAAAGCCCTGTGGTAAATATTTATACCACTTGCTGTAACATTTACTAACACTGCATTTTGCCCACAGAATGTTCCGTATGATTGCTAGAATAATCAGCGATCATTTACTTAAACGGCGTTAACCATTCTATCTTAGTAATGGTGAAGCGCTGTGTTTTCTTCGCGGTACGGATTGAATCCCTAAATACTTTATACAGACGAGTTCCGGCTTCAAAGGGTTCACATACATGAATTGTCATTGAATGAATACTGTGATGGCCATAAAAACATACTTAAATAGAAAATGATGATATGGGACGTACGTTAAATTATTTATACTTCACGGCATTTTAAAATTATTAACCTTCTTTGTTTATTTCGAAATAACTTGCTAACTTCAGAGGTGGGAGAAATATTGTCGCCACTTCCTCATCGGGCATTTTTTTTATCAATTTTTACGTAAATTTCTCTCATATTTGTGAGAAAACCGCAGCGGGTTACGTACATGAAGACAAAGCTGACATCAGTTGGAATTAATCAGTTCGCCGTGCCTCCTAGGCAACTTCTCCGTCACTCTTGTGTTGCCGGTTAATCGATTTGATACTCGCAGGCGTCATCCGTCCTGCGCTCGGTGGTCGTAGGATTGGTTTGTTCAACGCTGCAACTAACTAACGAATTGCTGGCGTATTCTACAGTCCAGTTGAAGAACAATGGTGATGAAGTTTGCTTGTTTCAAATCGTTCTGAATAAGAAACGCGTTAAACCCTTACCTACACAGATTTCGTTTAAACACCTAACGTATTAGTGTGGTTAGTGTACGGATCTCAGAGAGAGAGAGAGAGAGTAAGAGAGTAATTGAGTCGCAGTCGTTCTTCAAGTACGTAGGAGTTCTAAAGGCGCCAATTAGCAGAAGATTCAGTTATCACGAACGTCATATTTGTTAAGCACCGCCCTACGTAAGCGAAGAAGCTTTATGTCTTCTGTGACAGAGATTACACCGCGTCACGTTCGAAATTAAGCAGGAGGTAAGTTTACGACGTCAGTTTCACGTGAACTCGGTTATTAGAGCCCCTTGAAATATGCAACTTGCACCTGTCTTCAGGCCAAACAGGAATTTACGTGTGTGTGTGTGTGTGTGTGGGACGGGCGGACATCTCACGGAAGACGAGATCAGGCAGTCACCTTTCAGCACGAACACGAAGCACTTTTGTGCTGGTATTGCAGAGCTGAAATTCCTGTCTTCGGAACTTCCAAGACACTGAAAATGGATCTACATGGAATCGCCGTTGCGTTGTTTCTGTGCGTGTATTCATTCGTCGTCTGTGACGTCATCGTAGAAGCTCAGACTGTTTCGCCTTTAGCATGTGAGTATTAACATCAGGCGAGCATCTAATTATATGAATATTTAAATATGTACAGGAAGAAATTCGTGCGTTCTCGTTAATCAGATGAACGTATAAAGGGAAAAAACCTGTTAATAAGAGAGCGCTTAGAAGACATAAGTGTCGATGGAAGGATAATATTAAAATGTGTCTTAAGCAGGGAATGAGAATGTGGATTGGATTAAAGTAGCTCATAGGTATCAGAAACTGTTTCTTGTAATGAGAATTCGGACTTAATAGGGAAAAGAACTTGTAACTTCTTTACCAGCTGAGAGACTACTAGCTTCTGTTCCGTGGAGCTACTTAATTAGTAACTGGGAATTATAATTTGTATGTGAAACATTTTTCATGCGCTGTGTAATTAAAAGGGTGCAAAACAGAACAGTGTCGCACTGTATGCTGCCTTGTGTCTGCACCGTCATGCTTCTCAGACAGTGAGTTTGAGTCTGTGATAAATTAACACGAGTGGCAATGAAGTATGTAAATTATCCAGAGAACGAATTTGTATCTAACTCCGATACATGCTTGTCTGAAAGGATATGACACGATAAAGACCTGAACTGGCAAACATTACGTATTTGTCGCGTTGCTTTCGAAGCG